ATGTCACTATAGTCATGAAAATTAGGAAATAATAGTGTTAAAATACTACTGTCTAATCCAGAGATCCCATTCAAATTTTGTCAGTTGTCCTAATAACAACTTTATAGCAAAAGGATTTCAAATCATGTATTCCACATATTTGCCATGTATCTTAATTTCTTTCAATCAAAAAAAAGTTCTTTAGTTCTCCCTTTGTTTTTCATGACCTTGATCCTTGAAAAGCACAGGTTTATGATTTTGTAGAATGTCCCCCATTTGGGGTTGTCTGATTTTTCCTCACTTTTAGATTCAGATTACACAGCTTTTGCAGGAATGTCACAGAAGTGTGTTCTAAATGCCTCTGACCATGAGGCACACAATGCTGATTTGTCTCAAGACTGCTGCTGGTAACTTTGCTCACCAGTGCCAGATTTCTACACTGCCAAGTTTCTAATTTTTCCTCTGTGTAATTAATAAGTATTTGCTGGGGAGATACTTTGAGACTATATGAATATTATAAGTCTCTTAATACTCTCACCCTCTAGTTTTAGTATACACTGATGATTCTTGTCCAAATCAACTGTTAGTTACTATCATGACTGCCAAATAATGATTTATCTACTTATAACACTGTCTACATTCATTAGTTGGCACTTTTATATAAGGAAGAGCTTTTACTTTATCCTGATTTTTCAAAAAAATCATTTACTCATTTTAGTATGGGTTCAAGTATTCCTGTTTTATTTAGCACACTATAATCCATTAACATCATATTCGTGCTCATACTGACCCAGATGTGGCCAACGGGGGCTCCTTCAAGCTGGCTTCTGTGCACTTTTTTATATGTTTCTTCATTCTGTATTAACTTCCTTAATTTCTGATGCAACAAGATTTTCCAGACTCCTGTTATAAAATCAACCATTTCTCCAAGGGACCCGAGTTACTGTTAGTGAATAATAGTGTTTAAAATCCAAGAACTAGGCACATGTGCTCATTGCTTCCAGCATACCATTACTCTGAAACCCTTTCAGCAGATAGAGCTAGGAAGAGTATAAAGATAGATACGCATACACATATACAGACATCCTTTCCTCTATATTTATTTCTACATGTGTTTATGTATGTATCAAACACTATGAGTTCACACTGACATATTCAATTCCAATCCAACATCATCACAAAGGTCATTGTGGAATTCCTCCTCTCCCAATTTGTAACTTCCTTCTCTATCAGTGAGAAACCTGGCTCCCATGAGCCCTACCATATTTATGTCCTCACTCCCCTTTCATGCTTTCTACCTCTTTACTTGGCAAGGGGAAGGGGAAACAGCTGGTCATCGTTTTTTATACTTTCTTAAAATCACTCTTCCATCCAATCAATCACTAAGTCCTGACATTTTTATCTCCTAAAAATTTCTCAAATTGGTCCATTTCTCTCCATTCTGACTTTTCTTAACCTTGGCCATACCACCTTTGTCTGTTGCATGGCTTACAGCAAGGCATCTTAACTGGTATTCCCAGATCTAGATTTGCTTCTTTCCTGACTCTGAGGGAATGTGTTCTCTTTCTGGGTCCACAAGGGGGCGTAGTTTCTAGGGCAAGAACTTCCAAATACCATATTTTCTCCCCCTCCCACCCATCTTCATCCTGGAGATTTAACGATTTACGTTTAAATTTCGCAGGCGCAGGAAGAATCAAAAGCAATCACTCCACCAGAAGTTCTAAGGAACTCCTTTCATTGGTCAGGGGTCTTAGAGAAGATGGGGGTTCCTGCCAGGTTAAAAGTCCCCTTCTTCCACAGCCCTTCAGACTCCATGTTTGGGTCCCGTTCCACGAACACTCCCTTTGTGGAAGCTGCCCTTCTCTCTCCTGGATTTCCCCCTCTGGAGTCCCCTTCTGCACTCTCTCACCGAAGCCTGTCTTCCCCTCCTAAATTCCATGTCTCTCTAGTCCCTTCCACTCAAGTGTGGAAGCTGCTTTCCTCTCCTGATTCCATCTTTCTGGATCCTCTCAGTGGGAGAGTTAACTGTTTCTTTCTCTCTCCTCTGGTTTCTCTCTCTCTCTCTAAATAAATCACTTTCAACAAACACTTTTGAGTCTGGCTTTTACTGCATACTGCACCGTGGTTGCCTCTCTCATTCTTGAGAGGGCAGGAGACCAACAACCTGGAGAAATGTCTTCTCAGGGGAGCTGAGGGCACCCCTGAACCCCAATATTACATCTCCACTCTGCAGCCAGAGTTATCCTTATGAAATTAAAATTTGGGAATTTCACTCCACAGTTAAAATTCTTCAATGGTATTTCATTGAATACAGTACTGTCTGTGTCTCTTCATAGCTTGTGTAATCCTCGTTTTATTTCCTCCAAAAGCTCCTAGCCTCATTCTCTACCTTTTAGTTAGCCAACTTGAACTTTTTTCCTTTTTTTCAGTTCTTGTATTATACCAAACTTTCTTTTGGTGAATACCATATGCCACCTTATTCTACCTGAAACCCTTCCTAACCTGGACAACTCCACAAATTATTTTGGTCTTTACTTAAATGTCACTTCTGCTACAAAATATTCCCTGACCTCTCCCACCCCATTGCACCTCTGCATGCTACTGTAAATTCGGAAGCAAGAGATGATAAGTGCTACACATCAGCTAGTCTGGGAATTGTATTCTGAAAATAACTCTCTTTTTTTTTTTTTTTTTTTTTTTTTTGAGACGGAGTTTCGCTCTTGTTACCCAGGCTGGAGTGCAATGGCGCAATCTCGGCTCACCGCAACCTCCGCCTCCTGGGCTCAGGCAATTCTCCTGCCTCAGCCTCCTGAGTAGCTGGGATTACAGGCACGCGCCACCATGCCCAGCTAATTTTTTGTATTTTTAGTAGAGACGGGGTGTCACCATGTTGACCTGGATGGTCTCAATCTCTTGACCTTGTGATCCACCCGCCTCGGCCTCCCAAAGTGCTGGGATTACAGGCGTGAGCCACCGCGCCCAGCCCTGAAAATAACTCTCTACTAAGAATGAACAGCCAGAGTTATAACCTCTCTTTGAAAAAGCGGGTACTTAAATGCAGTTGTGAGGACAGATGAAAAGTGCATAAAACACCTACAATGAATAGCTCTTAGAAGGAGCTCAATATATGTTATCCATTATTCATTTAACCAATGTTCATAAAATGACAACTATTTCATAGATACTGTGGTAGATGCTGGGGATAGAAAAAATACATTGTAAACTGAAAATACAGAGGAGTGTCCAAAGTCTAATAGGGAATAGGAATGTTTGAAGGAATCAGTCGACCTGCTTAAGATTCAAAGGATGGGCAACATTTGGCTGTGACATACAGTAGTGTAAAAGAAGGACTTTTCAGGAAGAGAGGACAATATGTGCAAGGACCCGGCGTGAAAGGCTATGGATTGTTTTTCATGGCACACATAATTCAGTGTTGCATAAAACTGCATGGTCCATCCTGGCCAACATGGTGAAACCCTGTCTCTACTAAAAATACAAAAACTAGCTGGGCATGGTGGCCGCGCCTGTAGTCCCAGCTACTCTGGAGGCTGTGCAGGAGAATAGCTTGAACCCGGGAGGCAGAGGTTGCAGTGAGCCGTGATCGCTCCAGTACGTTCCAGTCTGGGCGACAGAGTGAGACTCCGTCACAGAAAATAAATAAATAAATAAAACTGCATGGTACACATGATTCAATATTGCATAAAATTGGAACAAGAAGCTAATGAGAGATGAAATTAGTCAGGGAGACGGAGCATTTTGTATCCTAGGCAAAGTAATGATTTTCTCTTACAGATTGCCTTTCACGAATTTTCAACAAGAGAATTGTACCGATTTACATTTTAGTCAGGTCATTCTGATAGTGTGGAGAATGGAATTTAGGAGTCAAAACTGGAGTTAGAGGACCGGTAAAGGGCCCATCTGAGGAAGTTAAAAAGAGAGAATGTATATGCTTTGGTAGAAGATGCATTTAGGATACTCTACAGTTCTTACTAAAAAAAACACTGGGAGGACTGTGGCAGCTTAAAGCAAAATAGAAATCCAGGAGAGTAGGTTTAGAGTGGAAAGTTGAACAGCTCAGTTGGGTAAGCACTGGATTAGTAATCTTTCTCGTTGCTTCTTCACAGGATTTAGGGACGCACATGACATATAGTTTGTAAGGTGTGGCGATGCCGGTGAGAATGGAAAAGTTGGCCTCCATAAACTCTCTCACTGTACAAATAAAGCAACAGGTTACAGCCCGCGGCTGTAAGTGCAGGAACTGGCCTGCATTCGCGAGTCGACGAGTAACCCAACCACTATTTTTCCAGCCCGGATGACTCAGAGCTGAAGATGGTGCCCGTGGCAGAAATCAGAAAAGCGGGTGGGAGCATTAGGTGTAGAAAAGGATGGAGTTTTAACTTTTGTTTTGTTTTCCACACAGAGGGAGACAACTCTAAAGGAATCATGGGTAATTTTTTCTTAGGATTTTGTCTGTAGTACAACTCTTCATTTTCCACGCTTTAAAACCATGGTTTCTTTTGTGGGTGCGATCGCGTGGGGGAATGATAAATCTGTTTCTTTGCCTCATTCACTCATTTTCTTAATCTGGGCGGGTTCCACGACAGCCCCCCCAGTTTCCTTTGCCCCGCCGGTTTTTCCCTGAGCTTGCTCTAATTCTAAGGAGGAAAGAGCATTTTCGGAGGTGAGAGCGGGTTAGACTCACGCTCTGTGGCGGCACCCGCGCAATTTCGGGTCCCTTCCCGCTCCAAGTGGAGGAGACTCTTCCCCGCTTGCGTGGCCCGGTAGGCGGGAGCCCGGCAATGTTCCGGAAGCGATCGCCGGCCAGAAGCCTGCGGGCCCGGGAGCAGGCGTAGCACAGCCCCTCCTCTCAGGCGAAGGCGTTGGCGGTGCAGGGGCGGGGCCGCGGACCTAGCAAGGAGCGCGGGGTGCATCGGTCGCCAAGGGAACGGCGGCGTAGGCAGGCGCTGACGTCAGTAGGCGGCGCGCTGTCTGCACTGCGGCACAGAGCTGAGGCTTGCTTTCAGAGCTCGCGTTGTTGATGGGGTTGGTTGGCTGTACGGCCGCCTCACTCCGCGCCTGCCCTGCTAGGCGCGGGGAGTCGATTTGCACTGCTCCGGGTGTCGGCTCGGGCGGGACAGGCCGTTCTGGGTCCTCCTCTCCGTGAGTACCTCGTGGGTGCGCTGGTGGCGGGATCGTAGACCCGGGTGTTCGGCCTGCTCGGCGCTCTCGAGCGCAGTGGTGTCCAGGCTGCTGGAGTCCCAGAGCGCGGGGACTGATCGCGGACTGACCCGCGAGCTTAGTTAGGCTGGGTGTCTCGGAGAATTGCGATTTCTGAGTCCTCAACGTACTTTTCCTCTTCCTTCACTGGTCTCCGGAGAGTTGAGCATGGTGCTGTGATAGGGAATTCACATCTTTGCCTTTCCTACTCCCGATTCTTGTTTAAATGCTTTTAAATCGGATGCGTAGTGTGTTTATTTCCTTTTAGAGTGTTAACCTGGGTTAAATCTTCAACGTGTCAAAAGCCATCTTAAAAACGTCTGAGGTGATCAATGTGATCATTTGTTACAGAAAAGGAGATCAATGTGTTACATTTATAAAAAAGAGAACCAAATTATATTAATAGTTTCGTTTAGAGATGTATACAAATAGAACAAAAATGTAGACCACTTAAGAATCCTTATCAAACTGTTTTGCTGTGTTTAGTATTCCTGTGAAAATATCTAAATGTGAAAATAAAGCTTTTCTCTCTTTTTGGGGGGATTGGGGAGGAAAGAGATGCCAACCGTTTTTTCACCTGTTGCATTAACAGTTGCTGTTATTGCTTGGGCTCTAGGAAGAAGATTGCTTGTTATGAGTACTCTGGAAAATTTTAAACAGAATGCTTGAAAGAAATTCAAACCAAAAGTGTTTTTGGACCATACTTAGAATCTTGTTTATGAAGAATAATGTTTATGAAGTTAGAATCTTGTTTACTTATAATGAATCTGGTTGATTTATTCATTGAATTTTGTATACAGGATTTTTGTTTGCCTTTTTTCCCCTTGCGACATTTGGTTAAGGAGCGAATTATCAGGCCTCTCAGTTTTTTCTCCCATTCATCTTGAGTCACATATTGGCTGATAAATCAGGTGGTCTGTAAAATAAAATGAGATGAAATGCGGTCCATTTAATTTTCCTACATAGTATCTCTTAGAAGCTTATGTAAAAGGGTTTGTGAGGGAAAAGTTGTAAAATAATGGAATATGCAAGATTCAGAGGTGTCTTTTAAAGTCTGACCTGAATTTTTGCAGATGTTACTAATCAAATATTAGTAATTCTATCATGTGTTTGCTGTAGTGCACATTAAGATTTAGAGATGGCTGAACGCAGTGGCTCACACCTCTAATCCTAGCATGTTGGGAGACCAAAGTGGGTGGATCACTTGAGGTCAGTAGTTGGAGATCAGCCTGCCTAACATTGGTGAAACCACATCTCTACTAAAAATACAAAAATTAGCTGGGCATGGTAGGATGCACCTGTAGTCCCAACTACTTGGGAGGTTGAGGCAGGAGAATAGCTTGAACCCAGGAGGCGGAAGCAGCAGTGAGCTAAGATTGTACCACTGTACTCCAACCTGGGCAACAGTGAGACTCTCTCCAAAAAAACAAAGAGATGAGTTCTGTAATGTATTTTCTGTGTTATCGTTAAATAATGTGTTTATTAGTTGTGCATTAAGCTATTAATAGTACGTAAGTATATGATTTAATCATGTATTTAATTTGTAATTATTTAGTTATTTTAAATACAATAGTATTGGACATAATTTTATTGCAATGTACTGATTATTTTGCTTGTTGGTATTTTCTCTGTTCCTTACAGTACTCAAGTAGGTGCCATTTTAAATTCCCAGACAAAGAAAAAACAAGGATTAGAAATTAAGTAGTTTGCCCAAGGCCACACATCAGTAAGTGGTGACAGTAGAGTTCAAGCCTGAGTCTTTTTTTACTCTAGGACCATTGCTACTGCTTTGTGTCTTCCCTCCCTTCATCTCCTGTTCCCTCTACTCCTCTCCCCTCCCCTTTCCTCCCCTCCTGTCATCCCCTTTTTCTCCACTTCTCTTTCATAGTGGCAGATACATAACTATAGAGAGCATTGGCCTGGCCCTCCAAAGCTAGCAGTTTTATGGGGGTCACAGAACATTTTACCAGGGTGGAAATTCAGGGTTGATAAGAGAGAGTTACAAAGATTACAGCACTCTGGGAGCACAGAAGAGAAGTACTTAACTGCCCTTCAAGGTGAGAGTGCTCTCTAGAGAAGATACCATTTGCCTTCAAAGGTTGGTGAGGAGTTTGTTAGAGTGACAAAGGAGGAAGAACATTTTTCAGGAGAGGGGATATATGTGTAATGATACAAAGGCAAGAGAGGACTTCCCACATGTGAGGGCCTGTAGGTAGTTTCACATGGCTGGAACACAGTGTATGTGTGAAGGGGACATTCATAAATGGCCTCCTCAATGGTAAGGACTTTATATTTTTTTTCAGTGTGCGATTGGGAGCTAGTGGAGAATTTTAAGCAAAGAAATGACACTATAGGGCCGGGTGCCGTGGCTCATGCCTGTTATCCTAGCACTTTGGGAAGCCAAAGCGGGTGGATCACAAGGTCATGAGATCGAGACCATCCTGGCTAACACGGTGAAACCTGTCTCTACTAAAAATACAAAAAATTAGCCGGGCGTGGTGGCACACGCCTATAGTCCCAGCTGATCTGGGGGCTGAGGCAGGAGAATCCCTTGAACCTGGGAGGCGGAGGTTGCAGTGAGCTGAGATCATACCACTGCAGTCCAGCTTGGGCAGCAGAGCAAGACTCCATCAAAAAAAGAAAAAAAGAAACAACACTGTCACATTTGAATTTGGGAAAATTACACTAATTGCTATGTAGATGATGACTTATTTTTTTTAAAGGGAAAGGTGATAGAGGCATGGAGACAATCTTTAAACAAACAGCATAATCCTTCCACATTTTGTCCCTCAGAGTTACTGTCTCATGTCACTTCCTTTAGGGGTGATGGGAAGACAGTTGGAAGAATTCTGTAAAGAATTGTCGGCCAGGCGCGGTGGCTCACACCTGTAATCCCAGCACTTTGGGAAGCGGAGGCGGGCGGATCATGAGGTCAAGAGATCAAGACCATCCAGGCCAACATGGTGAAACCCTGTCTCTACTAAAAGATACAAAAAATTAGCTGGGCACAGTGGCACGCAACTGTAATTCCAGCTACTCAGGAGGCAGAGGCAGGAAAATTGCTTGAACCCAGGAGGCGGAGGTTGCAGTGAGCCAAGATCGCACCACTGCATGCCAGCCTGGCGCCTGGTCACAGAGTGAGACTCTGTCTCAAAAAAAAAGAATTGTCTGCATGTCACTTCTACAGGTCTCACCTTCTATTCATTCCTCAGCCCCAGCCTACTAAGTTTCTGCCCCTCCATAAACAGTTTTGCTACAGGTGACTTCCTACTTGCAGATTCAGTGGACTCTCCTCAAAACCTGCATCCCCTTTTGATGCCACACAGTAGAGACTACATCTTCCTTAAAACTCTTCTCTTCTGTAGTGGTTCTGTCTCCCAGTTTTTCACCTATCTCCCTGATTTTACTTTATATTATGGGCTCACAGACTTCTCATTGGCTTTTCATTTTCTTGCAACTATCATATTTATAAATAACTCCCAAATCTTCAGCCTAGGGTCTCCCTGCTGGATTAATAGATTGCCTAACAAACATAATATGATTATATTCATAAACACACACACACACATATGACCGTAATAACAGTTGTCATTTTTGAAAGGCTTGCCATGTGCTAGGCATTGTGCTAAGTATTTCACTTGCATATTCTCATTTAATCTGTACAAAAACCCTGTGAGTGATTTACTCCTATTACTGTGAAAGACTGGGAAGTTGATGTCCATAGAGATTAATCTGCTGGCATTTGGAACTGGTATTTGATTCCAGGGACCTGACAGTGGAGCTGATGCTTTGCTCAGTGCCCTTCAGACACCCAACTCGACATGACCCACGCTAAACCCAGTGACTGCATCCTAAATAGCACCTGTTATAATTATAGCTAATATTTATTGTTGTTTCTTCTAAGGTACCCTTGTAAATCATTTAACCCTTACAGCCCTTTGAGTAGGCACTGGTAGGATGTTTTTACAGATGAGGAACCAAAAGTTATACAAGTGACTATGGGAGACTAATTCTAGGACATGGGTTTTAAACTACTCCTAGTGTGCATCATATTACAGTTTAATGATACTGCTAATCTACTTGCTCTACTTCTAGAAACATGGGAATCATCTCTAATTCTTTCTCCTGCCTATTCATTAGTTATGTAATCTTACTAAAATATATCTCATTCCATCACCCAGGCTGGAGCGCACTGGTGCAGTCTTGGCTCACTGCATCCTCTGCCTCCCAGGTTCAATCAGTTTTCCTGCCTCAGCCTCCTCAGAAGCTGGGATTACAAACACCCACCACTACGCCTGACGAATTTTTAGTGTTTTTAGTAGAGACAGGGTTTTACCATTTTGGCCAGACAGATCTCAAACTCCTGACCTCAAGTAATTGCCCACCTGACTAATTTTTGTGTTTTTAGTAAAGATGGGGTTTTACCATGTTAGCCAGACAGGTCTGAAACTCCTGACCTCAAGTCATCCGCCCACCTCATTCTTCCAAAATGCTGGGATTACAGATATGAGCCACCCCACTTCGCGGGCTTTTTTTGGTGACTCATAGTCGTCATTTTTCCTGCCTATTGGCTGACCCTCATGTAGTGTAAATATTAAGTTTTTATTTGCTTTATGATTTTTCTTCTTTTGTGCTCTCAGGTTTCAGTTACTGATGCTGTCATTGAACTTGCCTTCGCAGCTTCTCTTTTCTAATTTGATACAGACTAGAAAGTAGAAGACTATATTTATTAGATTTATAACTACTTGAAAGAGTAAATATAGGCTTCTGTCACTAAAGTGTAGGAGTTTTTACTACATGGATTTACTGATGTCTGTTTTGTCTGCGTACTGCATAGTGTTGCCTAAGTTAACTGACATAGGTATGTTTACATAGTCATTCCTTTCTTTTTAGAGTTTCTTAGACATTTCTGCAAGAGGAACATGAATGTGGATCTCCAGGGAATTGCAGCATTAACCAGTAACGCCTTGGGCCTGGTGCAGTGGCCCACTGTAATCCCAACACTTTGGGAGGCCAAGGCAAGCGGATCGCATGAGGTCAGGAGTTCGAGACTAGCCTGACCAACATGGTGCAACCCCGTCTCTACTAAAATTACAAAAATTAGTCAGGCTTGGTGGCACACACCTGTAATCCCAGCTACTCGGGAGGCTGAAGCAGGAGAATTGCTTGAACCTGGGAGGCAGAGTAGCGAGCCGAGATCATGCCTCTGCACTTGACAAAGGGTGACTCCATCTCAAAAACAAACCAACCAACCAGTAATGCCTTAGCCAACTCTTTTTTTTTAACATCCTTCAAGTTTATTCTTAAAAGCATGCATATTATGTTCTAAATGTTCTAATATGAGAATTAATGTGTTCATTTTAAACATATACCCCCATTTTTTAATAAAATGGGCAGTTTAGTAATATACATGCTGAGTTTAACCATGGTTTTGAGTTATTCTGACACACAGTAATACACACCCAAAGAAAAATGGTACAAATACTTGTACTGTCCTTCTCTATTGTAGCAGGATTTTCAATGGCAGAACAGGTATTTGAATTCACTGTCTCTGAGTGTGCTACCTTCAAGCATGCTTGAATGTAGTAGTGAATACTCTTAGGAAAGTCAATCCTGAGATGGAGTTTGGTTTCTTGAAAGTGTGTTGAAATGTTTATTAATTTATTAAAACACTTTAAAAAGTTTATTAACATACGACATTAGATGATGACTGCCTTCAAAATTTTTTGTTTGTTTGTTTCAAATATATAAATACTTTATTCAGAGATGATCCAGTTTGTTTCCCTTGATTTTAGGGCCCTAAACTGATTCAAATGTACCCAAGTCATTTGCATAAGATTGGGATAAGGTAACATAGCTTTACTGGTATAAACTTAATGAAGTAGCGGACATACAATGGCATGATCTTGTGTGAAGAATGTTTTATAATTTTTATTTGGAAATTCCATATTACAAATACATCCTCTTTGTTTCAATAGGATCCTGATTGAGTCAATTCTTAACATTATCAGTCCTCTGCATAAAGCTGAGAGATGCCTCCCGGTAAGACTTTTATGAAATGTATGTATAAAATTTATATTTTATACATTTAAAGTTTGGATTATTTTCATTTTAAGGGATTCTTTAACCGATTAATGAATACAGTAGGTGTCATTTACCAAATATGCTACACTGTAGAGATATTTATTGGTTTTGTATTCAGTTTTCTATTTAATGTTGTGATTAAGGTTATTATATATTTAATGAATGGTAGTTTGGGACTCAGCTGAACAAAGTAAATAATGATTACAACATAGGGTTAATTTTTATTATTTATCATCAAAATTGAATGTTTTACTCCACCACAAGCATTGGCAATCTTTTCTGAAAGGGCCAGCTAATAAATATTTTAGGCTTGGTCTCTATTATAACTACTCAACTCTGTCTCTTGCTCTATCTCTTTTAAAACATGAAAGCAGTTACAACAATTCCTAATCAAATAGACCTGTCTGATTTCAGTAAAACTTTACAAAAACAAGTGACTAGCCTGCAGGCCATCGTTTGCCAACAGTTGCTCTAGAGTACCCATTCATTCAACATTTATTAATTTAAAACATAATGACTGAGTATGTATACTGTGTCAGACCTCATAGTAGTAGCTAGGGATGTAGTTATGGGGAAAACAAACAATATATTCTTTATATAGATATAAAAATGATTATATGATTTCCATTTGTGTTAAGTGCTGTGAAGGAAGAGAACAACCTGCTATGTGATAAAAAGGAAAATTTAGTTGTCAGATGTTTTATTTAGAGACAGCATTTAAACAGACAGGTTAACCCCCAGCCAGGTGAGGAGTTAGAGGAAGCTTGCCTCAGAAACAGCTTCATGTCGGAAGGAGCTTGCTGTGACGGAGGAGGAAGGGTATTATAGCTAGAACATAGGCATCTAAGAGGATATTTGTCTTGATTTCAAGCTCTAGAGATAGATCAGGAGGTATGGAACCCTGTAGGGCATGTGACAGACTTATTTTATCCTAAATAAAATGGGAAACTTTTATGGGCTTAATCATTACCTGATTCATGTTTTAAAGAAAAATTTTTTTGTAATGGTAATATTTGTGGATTACTGATGACAGGCTTGGCAGGCCTTAGCCATTTTTCATGCAAAATGATCTTGGACATAGGATAATTGTGATTTTTCAGATATAGAAAATGAAGTTCAGGAATGTTAAGTAACTTGTCTAAAGCCACATAACATGTAACTAACAGTGGTAGATGCTATTGTTTATCAGAAATAAAAAGTTAATTCAGCAAAGGAGACTTTTAGAGTCAGTGGCCAAAAAGGTCAGAAGGATACAAGTGAATGTTGTGTCACTAAAGTCAAAGTAAAAAGTGTTTAAGAAGGAAGGACTAGCGAGTGTTTCTAATGTAGCTAGAGGATTCACGCAGGTATTTACAAGGCTTGATTTCTTAACATAAGAGTAATGTGTTATAATAGAGTTGTTTACAGAATGACATGACTCTCTTTTGTAGCTGAGAGTGAAGCAAAAGTAAAAACCAAAGTTCGCTTTGAAGAATTGCTTAAGACCCACAGTGATCTAATGCATGAAAGGAAAAAACCAAAGAAAAAACTTGTCAGGTCTGGAGAAAACATCTCGGTAAGTAATCATCATTTGGTAATGGTGATTTACATATCTGCATAAAATGGCTGCATATAATTAAAAACAGTAACATTATGTCATGGTCAATAACACATAGTAAAATAAAGTTGACATTAGAATCGACATCACTGTTGGAGTATTGAGTTCATTCTTGAGTGCTGCCCTACAAGAAGAACATGCACACAGTGGGGAGAATGACCAGAGATAGTGGGGAAACTCAAAACTAGCCATGATAAGATTTTTGTAGAAAATCAGTATTTTTTTTATTTTTCGAGACAGAGTTTCGCTCTTGTTACCCAGGCTGGAGTGCAATGGCGCGACCTCGGCTTACCGCAACGTCCGCCTCCTGGGTTCAGGCAATTCTCCTGCCTCAGCCTCCTGAGTAGCTGGGATTACAGGCACGTGCCACCATGCCCAGCTAATTTTTTTTGCATTTTTAGTAGAGACGGGGTTTCACCATGTTGACCAGGATGGTCTCGATCTCTTCACCTCGTGATCCACCCGCCTCGGCCTCCCAAAGTGCTGGGATTACAGGCTTGAGTCACCGCACCCGGCCCCGAAAATCAGTATTTTTAACCCGGAATTGTGAAGAACTTAGGAAGTAGTATCCTAACTTCAGCTATTGAATGGCTTGTGCTTGTTGAAACTTTTTTCTGTATGGTTCTACCCAGCAGAACCAAGAGAAATCAACGGCCTTAAGGCAATAGTTATCCTTTTATGTTTGAGGCACACTTTCAAATGATAGAATTTTTGGCAGCACACTTGAAGGGATTAAAAATACAGTGCTCAAAGTAACATTAAGCAAATCAGCAACTAACTACAATCTGATCCCCTTGGTATCATAAAGTCTATATTGGCATCCACAGTTAATGCAGTATGCACTCTTTATACCCATCTCACTACTTCAGTTGCACTTTTTGCTACTTTGACTGTTACGTTTTCTGTCCTCACAGAAAAAAATAAATAGGTTATTGTACATTTCAGACTTCTCTCTAAAAACACTAAATCCAAAAGACAATAGAGAAATATTTAGTGTATTAAGGGAAAAATTGTAGCTCAAGGAATCTAGTTACTCAAGTTGTCAGTCATTTGTGAGGGTAGTTGTAAACATATGTGCTTTATTGGAGAAATATTATCAGCATTCCCTCCCTGAAAAAAAAAAAAAGATTGAAGATTTATCAGAGATGTAGTACCATTTCTAGATGTGAATCAAAGTTAAGAATTTAAGAATAGAACATCTTAAGATCTTAGATGGAGAGATGAACAGAAGTTCATTCCTTAACAGGGGTACAAAATATAGTTAGAAGGGATAAGTTCTAGTAGGGAAATTACAGTTAATAATTTATATATTTCAAAATAGCCAGAAGAGAAGATTTATGTTTCCAACATAAAAGATAAATGCTTGGAGTAATGGATATCTCAGATCCTCTGATTTGATCATTACACATCATATATGGTATCAGAATATGACATGAACCCCCAAAATATATACAACTCTTATATATCAATATAAAAATTTTAATGGGAAATTTATGAACTGAAAATACCATTGGATGAACTTTGAAATCAATTAAACATGTAGAACTTTTTTAATTATTATATATGTCCAGAATAATTCCTGAAGATTTTACATTAGATATGTATAATTGATAATGTGAGATAACAGAACAAATTGGTTTCAAAGATTGAGCAAAGCATCCTAGCTTACAAAGGAACGAAAAGTCAGTAGCTATTACTCCTATCCCTAGTGTATAGTCAAAAGTTATATTTCATCCTAGAGTTTGAAATAAAACAAATGACATATGTCAAATAGATTATTACACTTTCTAAGTCATCAGCATTAAAAATATCAAGTGAGATTTTTTAAAAAGAAAGCAATGAAATAAGAAAATTAAGAGCAAACTCAGTCATGACAATAAATGTAAATAGTTTAAGCTTTCCATTTTAAAAAACGATTCAAAAATAGATTTTTAAAATATCAGGACCAGGTGTGGTCGCTCGTACCTGTAAGCCCAACACTTTGGTAAGCCGAGGTGGTAGAATTGCTTGAGTGCAGGAGTTCAAGACTAGCCTGGGTAACATAATGAGATCCCATCTCTCAAAAAATAAAGATTTATCTGGGCATGGTAACATGTATCTGTAGTCTTAGCTACTTGGGAGGCTGAGGTGGGAGGATTGCGTGAACCTGGGAGATGCAGGCTGCAGGGAGCCGTGATCATGCCACTGCATTCCAGCCAGAGTATAGAGCAAAACCCTATCTCAAAAATAATACTAATATGAAATAAAATATCAAGTATTTTGCTTGCAAGATTCACACATTAAACAAAATGACAAGTTTAAAAGTAAAAGTGCAAAAATATAGACAGTTCTGAAAAGAAACTTACAACTGTCTCATTTATGAATTTGTATTCAAAGAACAAAAAATCCTATATAAATATATGAACACATTGAAATTAATCATGTTAAAAGAATAATCTATCTCAGCCAGATAGTTCCCCCAAGAACTCAAGATTAGCTTAATAATTGGATATCAGTCAGTATTAATAAGTTCGTGCAAATAAATTGAATAAAAACCATATAATGTAAAAATAACAAGGAAAAAAGCTATCATATTTTAATTGGAAATGGGGAGTAGTAGATTTTTTAGAACCTTTTGGTGTTTATGTATGAAAACCATACATGTAAGCACCAAACCTAGAACACCCTATGAGGTTCTAGGAAAATGCAAATCCACACATCTACATAGCATATTATCTATGATTTCAACAGTTGTCCATGGGTCCCTTTAAAAAGGGAGATACCTAGCCTACAGGTTCTTCCTTTAAAATCAGGACCTGCAAGGGAAGATGTCTTTTTACCAAGAACAGCTCAGTCGGGAGACCACCACCCAGGTGAGCTGAAGGTATTAAGAGAGGCAGACACCCAGATAGCCAACAGAGTGGATCTGTCCTGAGGACCAACAGCCTGAGAGCCTGCGGGGCTTGCACCTCTCCAGGACTGAAGGCCCCGAGCAGAGATTCATCCACGCACTTATTTGCTCTTTGACAGGTGATTATTATTAATACACAGGTGTTCTACATATACACATAGGACGATACCAAGTAGGCAGCTGTTACCCACATAATGCTTATTACAAACTAGAAGGTATCCTCCTCCCCAAAGGAGCCATGGGGGCAGGGTAAACTTAATTTTTCTCAACATCTTTTCATCATAACTTTAATAATCTTGAAGTAAATGTATTAAGGCATGTAACATATATGATAGCTTTTTATCAATAGGTGTCTGTCCAAAGTGCAACAGATAGTTCAAGACCAGCCTGGCCAACATGGTGAAACACAGTCTCTACTAAAAATAACAAAAAATTAGCGGGGCATGATATTGCATACCTGTAATCCCAGCTACTTCAGAGGCTGAGGCATGAGAATTAACTTGAATCCAGGAGGTGGAGGATGCAGTGAACTGAGATTATGCCACTGCACTCCATCCTAGGCAACAAGAGTGAAACTTCATCTCAAAAAACAAAACAAAACAAAAAAATACATAGAATGAGGGGAGTGTAGCTCTTCCAGATGTTTGAAGAAATTGTAAATAGAATTAATAAATAGTATTGTCAGGTTGCTTTAGTTTTTGAGGGAAGGCATTTTATCTCACAAATTAAAAATTATATTTCAGATAACTCAAAAATTTAAATGTAAAAATTGAATAGGCAAATATTTGCATAAGAAAATTAAAATAGCTGGCTGGTTTAACCTTCCTGTGTGGAAAGATATTCTGGTCTTCAAAGGGATAAAAGACCTTCTAAAATATTCTGGTCTTAAAAGGGATAAAAGACCTCCCAAATAAAGAGACGGCATTTTCTGCCTGTACACAGAAGACTCTATTTGTTGAATGAATAAATACATCTGATGTATATAAGATACTTTTTTGTCAAAAACCAAATTTGACTATAAGCCAGTTCACTGAGAAAAATACGTAATATTTTATAGTCATAGCACTAATACTCTTACACATAGCTAATCATAATAATTGCTCATACTTATTGAGCAGCTACATCATGTGGAATGAGAAGGGCCTTCTGAGTATTTTATAATTACTGACCTATAATCCTTGGAACAACCTTATGAGTAAGTTTCATTCCTGTTGTTAACTTGTAAAGAAGTTGCATAAATTGATGCCATAAATATTAAGTTATTGCTAAGTGAGCAAAAGGAATGAAAAATAAAACCAGATACAAGAGAAAATAACATTGACTAATAAAATGTAGTAAGATTTTAAAAGAGATTCAGATTGGAATACCAAGGTGATATTTTTGCTTATCAAAAAGGTATTTAAAAAGTGTATTAGTAGTAAGGTATCAAGCAAGGCTTTTTGATAGAATGCTGGTAGAAAGGTGACAGTACAACATGTGATATGGTTGGGCTGTGTCCCCACCCAGATATCATCTTGAATTGTAACCCCCACAATTCCCACGTGTCATGGGAGGAACCCAGTGGGAGGTAATTGAATCATAGGGGTGGGTTTTTCCCGTGCTGTTCTTGTGATAGTGAATAAGTTTCATGAGACCTGATGATTTTAAAAATGGGAGTTTTCCTACACAAACTCTCTCTTTGCCTGCCGCCGTACATGTAAGATGTAACTTGCTCCACCTTGCTTTCTACCATGATTGTGAGGCCTCCCCAGCCATGTGGAATTGTAAGTTCATTAAATTTTTTTCTCTTGTAAATTGCCCAGCCTCAGGTATGTCTTTATCAGCAGTGTGAAAATGGACTAATATACCATCATTGAAGTGGTTCAGGTTTTTCTAGCAGTATTCAATAGCCTGGTTATAGTTCTGGAAATAAAGTTCACTAAATTTGAACAGTGCCTTCAGTTTTACCAGAAAAGTGTGATGGATAGGAAGTACATGAAAATGGCAAGTGATGATTGAAGTGATGGATTGTGAGATCAAAGCATCAGGAATTAGATAAGCGGGGCTTAATAAATAAAGAGAATATGCT